GCCGCGCGCAACTTCATAAACAACAACAACATCCACCAGCCGAGCCAAAAACACACAGCATACACACACGCATAAACAACGCTGTAAACGTTTAAATTTTTAATAATAGTGCGGAGGAGTTAAACGCGCGTAAACTTCACCTCGCGCATAATTATCACACCTTTGCGTGAAATCCTATGTGGACACACTGTGTGTGGACTGGAAATCAACTCGTCTTGTGCGTGGTTGTGTGCGAGGATTCGAATTGGGCCAATCAATCTGGATTTATTTAAAAGGAAATGAAATTTTCCCATTTCCCAAGTCAGTTTTGCAGTCGCAACTCAACTTCGAACTTCGCTGAAATATATTCAATGCATCGAAATAGTATCTTAACTAATATTAGAAATGTGAATGTTTGTTTGTGTCACGACTACGGGTAAACCACTCAATATATTTTGATAAATTTTGGTAGACAGATACTTTGGACCTTGGAAAATAACATAGGCTACTTTTTTTCTAAAAAATTTAACTTGACGCATGCGCAAACGGGTTTCAAATTTTCTGCAACAAAAAAATTATAAATTCCTAATAAATCGAAGTCGTAAACAACTAACAACGAAATTTAGCTCATTTTACCTTCAACCTATAACTCGTGAGATTAGGTTATGTTATGTTACACAATGTTAAATTAGGTTAAGTTGGGTGATGTGAAATTTACGATTATTCATATAACCTATCGGTAATGGTCGGAAGCCTTGAGTCGTCGGCGAAGAATAACAGCGCGGCCATTAACGTCTATAATAATTCCAGCGGGAATGGCGGCGGTGGCGGTGGTGGCAAAGGTGGAATTTGTTGCAGTTCGCATTTATTGCACTTGCACACGTCGAAATCGATACGCTGCGCGTCACACACTTGCCAAGATTATCGCCAAACACGGCACACGCGAGCACGACATGTTTTAAATAATAATAAAATGACAACGGAGTGAATACAGACAAAAGACGTCAGGATTCAGTAGAAATAGGGATATCTAATAGCATTCTTGAGAAATATTTACTTCAGAATAAGTTTTTTTTGTTTTAGAGCAAAAAATTGAAATTTTTTAAAAAAATTTTACAAAAAAAATAATAGGACATTTTTGTTGAAAGTCACGACATCTAGTGGGAAATTTTGGTACTACTTAGGTTAAAATGTGATTTTTTTACATTTTTTGGGAGAAATTTTGCCCAAAATTAATTTTTACACCTTACATAACCTCACATGAACACCCCACATTGTTTTAACGACCAAATATGTGTGAGGCACTTATGAAACAAATCCAAACCAGCGCTGCAAATAAAATATGCGCCCTCATTACGTATTTACGCATCGTTTATGCACTCCAGACGCGATCGTAAACGCGAATAAAGCGCAAATAAAACACGCCAATAAAAATCAAAATCTCGACCCTGTCCATCGCCAATCTTTACGACTGTTTGTTCCCCCCACCACTTTCAACTACCAACAGAGCTTAAAACAGTCATGCGAAACAAAGATGGCCGGTGAATAAATTAATACCATCAACAAGAGCGTAAAATTGATTGAACGTCACAGCAAATTGACCAAAAACACTAACAAGTTGAGTTTTATTCTCGCTGCGCGAAATAAAAGTTTCCATCGAGCGCCGCAATCTCGATATGGCAATAATAACAAAAGTCAAAGTCCACTTATTAAATCCCGACGATTGAGACGATATTTTATTGAATTGAATTAAATTAATATCAGTTGGTTTGTTTAGGCAAAGTTTTCTTGTTAAGCCGAAAGAGACAAGTTGTGTATCTACCTGCGCGAGAAGGCGGAAAAGCGGAAAATGCGCTCGCGTGAAATTGCCAACTTTCCAACGTGGCAAACGTGTGAAATTACTTTCGAGCAAGTTATAATAATACCACTGCAACTAAAAACTACACATAACCTCACATTAGAACCTTCAAAATTACGTTTTTAGGTTAAAAAAATTAATTACAAATTAATTCCGCACAAAGCATATTTAATTATCACGAATAATTCACTTTTATTGTGCGGCTTATCACAATAGGCGTAGTTAAACTGGGAAAAACCTCAAAAGAACTCACTTATCGCCCGAATCTCGCCGTGTTTCTTGATAATTAATTTACGCTGTTAATTATTCGCATAATAACATCTTAGTTATGCTCGCGACGTAATTATTTAAAACGTCAAATTCCACATTTACTTTAAATCCGATTCTGTACGGCGTGTAATGCAAACACAAATTTTTCAATTAACGTCACGTTCGTCTTTTCGTCTTCCGACATGCAGGCCCCTGAAATGTATGCAACTCTTTGCGCAAGCGGAAGGTATTAAAGTGAGATTATTCATTTAAGACAACAAAATTTCCAAACCTCGGCACAACAAAAATTGGTATTATTATGTGTTATTACGTCATGTCCAGTCGGGAGTGATAAATTTCGCTGTAGAAATATAAATATGACCCGAACCGGAAGTACGTATTTCGTTCGTGCCGTGTGTACATAACTTAAACAAGGTAAAGACAAGATATACACGATAAAAATTGCATTTTTTGCAAAGTTCGCGGTTAATTTAGAACGACAACTGACAACGAATTAACAGCGAGTTGCCGAGTCAAAGTTGGATTCGCTTTTAATTAATTACCCGTAACTATTTTATTATTTTATTATGCCGGTTGTGTTTTGGGGATCGCGTGACCGCACGCCGACGGGTACTAAATATATCTGAGGATGACACCGCGACTGCCACCAAAACTTTGCGAAAAATTCCACGGCAGACGTTTAAAAACTAAAAAATGTTTTTTTAAGATTTGAAAGAGAAAAAAAAACGCATGTTTTGCGCAATCAAAGGTCGTGTTTCTTAATGAAGATATAATTACATTTCGCGGCCTGCATAAAGCGGTTTTAATGGTGGGTTAAATTCAATTCAACTCGCTGCGCTTTTTTTTCTTTTTTGCATTCGTCAATTAAAAATTCAAAGCGTAGATTTCTCCTTCAAGTTTAACTAAGAGTACATACGACTTGTAAGTTCAATCAGTGTAATACGTAAGCAAAATTATATTGAAAAGATAAAATATTAAACTTTTAGCGAAAAAAATTTAACACATTGTATGTTTATTGGTTAATTGTCGTCGGAATAGTGAATAAACGCGTTGTTTTCGAACCGGCGACGTGACATAAACAACCGATTAAAACTGCACGTGTAATTTTCCACTCCTGCTACGTTTAACATTTTTTTCCGCACTCGCGTAGTTTTTCAGCGCAAATGTATATTTATCTCGATAGTGGAGGCGCCGGGCGCTGCGCGAAAAAAATATAATTATCGCGCGAATATCGAGTGATAAATAAAAATAATCGTGTAATATCTTACTAAATGTAAAAAATAGACAAAAATATATTGAATTGTTGAATTTAACACTCAGTTTGAATTTTATTCTTCTTTTTTCTGTTTTTTTCTCTTTTGAAGTTGGTCATAATTATGTGCTTGTTTTATTCGTTTTATCGCAATTTACTTCCACTTGAAGTGAAAAAAAGTGCACTTTCTTGCCGATAACAGGGTAAAAATTAAAGCCGCGATAATAACATAACACAAACAATGGATTAATCAACAACATACGGCCGCCATACGACATAAAAACGATTAGAAAATCGTGAGTTATAATGAAATGTAAACACGTCATTAGTTACACTTGAAAATATTTAATTTTTTTTTTGTATTTTAAACATAAATTATATACTTTGTGAGTTTATTTCTCAAAGAGACGATAAAACAAACGTCTCCGCGTGGTTTCGGCTGACCGAATAAATCGAATAAGTTTTCCTCGCAAACTTTTTGATATATTGCCACGCCGGCAGCGAAACAATATGTTTCGTACATTGCACTAACCGAAAAATGTTTATTAAAGCACTTAGACGTTGCCACTAAAGTGGCGAATAAAATGCACATCAAAAACGATTAAAAAATATCTCAAATATCCAATTTTATTACTTGAAAGGTGCATGTGCATGAAAGATGCCACTGCCATAAAGGATCCGCTCCAAAGCCGAAAATCCTTCAATTGGCAGCGATGGCTATGCATAAATCCGGATAGACAAACAAATCTACCGAAATTATTATACTCTGCCAGACAATTTTATTTTATAGAGTTTAAAGACACCTGCAATGCGTTATCAAATTGAATCTTTTGCGAAAAATGTTGCAATTTTAGTTTCAAGCAAGGAAATAATCTCGTCGATTCTCGATCGTGATTACAACTAACAAGTTGCATCGCCGAGCGAAAAGTTTAATTACTTATTGCCCTTGTAATTCGTAATTATATTATTCGGTGCCACCCTCCGCACAAAGCACAAAGCCTCACGCCACCGCAGAAGCTCACAAACAGCCACGCAGCTTTTGTTGTTTCGGCCCCATTTATTACTATTGGTTTTAGTATTTTAGTGAGCTCGAAACTTTTCGGAATTAGTTCCGCCGGCTCGCATCCTGCGCTCAAGTAAATGTTGAAATGTAATCCGCGCGGAATTAGTTTAATTGGACGCAGCGAATAAAATAAAATTAAATATTTAAATCGGCTTAGATTTATACACAATACGTTTTATCAAATTTAAAGAAACACCCTGTATAATAACGAAATATGTAAAACTTTGTGTAACGACAAAAATATTTTAATTTCTAGAAATTTTGACGTAGAAGATGTTTTAAAGACATGACATTTGAAATATTATTGTAAGTATGCAACCCAACATCCCTACATATTGCTACAGCAGTTGCCTATCCACGTAAAACCCTAATATTAGGTTATGTTTTGTTTCCCGACGATATTTAATTTTAGATATATTTATTATATTTATGTTTTTGTGCCTTTGACGCGACTGGTACGACTTGTCACTAGCCAAATAAACCGACTATCTTTATATCATCTTCGTGTACTGTCTAATTTACGCTTGTAGACGAAAAATACGAAAACTTTTCGCGTGTGAAAAAACATCACCACTAACCTGATCCGAGCGGCGTCGACGCACATTTCCCCTCCTTATCCTGAAGTCCTTCCAAGGCCTGCACGAGGATATTCTCCTTTCCTCCTCCACCGGCGCCTCCACCAGCACCTTCAGAAGCTGTATTGGTACTACTAGGCGCAGTAGTAGCTGTTGTTGTAGTGGTAGTCTGAATCAAAATATGCCCATTGCCATTATCGCCGCCTCCGCTGAGTAAAAGTATCGGCGTGCCGCCTCCGAAGCGCTTCACCGATTGCAGAAACACCCCTTCACCCAACTCATCACCCTGCTGTTGGAAAATAATCTGCCCGATTTTGGCATCACCACCGGCAACCAAGCCCTTCCCGGATGCGTTCAGGAGTATATGGCCGCTCTCCGAGGACTTGGTGCCGCGCAGCAGGATGATATTATTGCCATTCAACTCGCCGGTCAAGGCACGCGCGTCTTTCGCGCTCAGCGTGCGCACTTTTCCATTCGTATTATGCATTTTTCTATTCTGCAATCAAAAGAATACAAAACAAACATTTAGTTGTTGTGATTTAAGCGTTTCTACGAAGCACAAGCGGGAGAGGAGCTCTACTTTATCGACTTTTTGCAATTTGTCGATGAAGCACACAAGCTGCACAATTCTTGCTTCCCTGGCTGAATTTGAGCATTCGACACACGTGCACCGCCTCCGGCGTGTTTCCTACTTTCCGCCGGCGCCAGCGACAATGTGAACAAGTGTAAATAAATAAAAACAAAACACTCTCAAGTCCAACATCTAAAAATCGAATTAATTAATTCGCTTTGTACGTTTAATTCCACATTTCGCCACGTGTATAAAATACCAACGTATAGATGTCGCCGCTGACAAATTTTTACTCCCGCCCAGGATGTGGTAGATAAAACGCCGTCCGTTCGATCGTTTCGAATGCCGTTAAGCGGAAAAAGACATAATCTCATAAGTGCGCGCGATGTATAAAGTTATTGGCCAGTTTCGCCCGGCACAATGTAACCTCATAACGGTAAACATAAAAATTCACCAGCGCGCCATCTTTGCTTTTCTTTCGCGCACTCTTTATGTCCTCTGGTCGAACAAAAGACCGCCGCCGTTGTTATAAACATTGCTGCGTTACTTTTTACTATAACAGCACTGACCATCACAAGATGAGTCATTTTAAACAGCACGCCCCACCATTTTCATAAAATTTGATAAAATTTGCGTAGAATAATAAAAAATTTATGTCGAAAGTTTACAACAAGTGATTTACACATATTGTCTTTCCTATAAAATATTGTGTATATATTTTAGCAACGAGATAATTTCAATTTGATTCCCTGGTGATGTTTAGGAGGAAAAAAGTCGGAAATTTGTATCAGATCCTCACATAATACCCGCCGGATTCGCCCGAGCAGCCTGGCAAAAGTCAAAAAACCGAACGTAGCAATTTTTCGCTTTCGTACGTGCGAGCACTACCAAGTTACCAATGTGGTGGCGTTGGCCCTCAACCTGGGGATGTCCGAAATTGACTGAAAAGACGGTTATTTAGGTATTTCGCGCAACGTGACTGATTTACATAATGTACAATCGACTCCCCAACTCGCGAAAACGCGAAAACTTTGAATTCCGCAAATATTTCATGTGCTGATAACACTGAGGAGACAAATACGTTTGTTTTGAACAACGCGCATATTTCTTCCATATTTAAAACAACAAAACTTCAGTCAGACGATGCAAGGAGGAAGAAAAGACAAGATGTTCACGCAACGCAAAAAGTTGTAATTATGTGTAGCATTTGGTCGCGGACGGCCCTTCAGAGTGGTAACAGATGTCACCACCACTGACCACCCCTTCTTGGACCAATGGCGGCCATTATGTTATTGTAACTTGTTGTATTTATGAGTGTTTTCGGGCCGGGAGGAAACTAAACTCGACTCAACTTGAAATAATACCACTAAACAAATACACCGAGTGTTAACAAAACTCCAACACATAAAAATATATTAATTTCGTTCAAATTTGTTTCTTTAAACACACTGTATAAAAGTGTTGACCGAAATTTATGACAAACATCGAGGTGGGCAAAAAATCCGTGTAGACTTCATATCATGAGCGCGAGGGCGCGTTTTTGTTCGGGAGCGTTCAAGCGCGTCGTCATCGAAAACCGACGTCCTGCAGGACTAGAACTAGACGCCTGGAAAGTCCTTCAACGTACACACACACAGCGAGAAACATTTGTCTCGCAAAACACTGTTGCGGTCGAGACAAGTGTTCGAACACACAACACGAGGAAAAAGGATACGGCTGTCGTCCTGGTTCAAAAGGACACCAGCAAAAAACGCAAAACAACATCATGCGAGGAGCGAGCGACTATTAAAAATACAATAACATCCGGCCGAAACTACCACCACATTACGCCCGTAATGAGTGTGAGTGAAAAACAAAGGATGCGCACAAAAAATGCTTGTAGACAAGAAATTCGCAGGTCTTACAAAGTCCACACACGTACCAATTGAAAATAACGTCCATTTTAATCCTTCTATTGTGTTTTAATTGCTTTTTCTCAAGTCGAAAACACTTTAAACGCGATAATAAAATTAATACGTGATGGAAATAATTAAAAATCTATCGAAACCAATCAAAATTAAAAATTAATCCCTACTAATATTATAAATGCGAAAGTCCTGATGTTTGTTACACTTTCACGCAAAAACTACTTAACCGATCATCATGAAAATTTGTACACATATTCTTAGTGGTCTCCGAATGGTTATAGGCTACTTTTATTTAATAAAAAAATTATTTTTGAAATAAAATAAAGAAATTGTTTAGCCAATAATACCTCTGCATCTGGCTATTTGACTACTTTAACGCCATCTAGCATTCCAGCAATGAAGCTCAAACCTAAGTACTATAGTACCATCACACTGTATTATCACACTGTATTACCGACAGCTACGTCAACATCAAATCCAATTGACTACACTATGGAGACTGTACACTATACTTCCATAGACTATACTTTCAGCCATTTTAAACTTCCCGCCATTCTACTTCATTGTTACTTCTTCTGTGACTACAGACGCGTACGGATGCAACTTCATTACATTAGTTTGTGTATAATTAGAAAAACTGTAGGTGAAATGCAGGAATGTTGATGTTTTGTGTTTTGATGCGATATTTATTCGATATAGTTATGAAAACATGAAAAATCCATTAGGGAAATTTACGTGCGCGAATCGAAATATCGCAAAAGGTATAAAAATGCGCGCGTTTCGGCGCACGTAAACAACGTTCATACATAGTTGATTAGGAGGATGCGACCCACTTGGAAATATTTCCTCTCTTTGCGCTTTGCGCTGCTGCCCGGCGCCTCCACCCACGCGCCATACGCTCTGCTGCTTTTTTCCAGCGCTAAACAAACATTTTGTTTGCTTTCTCATCATAATTCGCCGAAGATGTTTTGGCACACCGAGTGCATTGTGCGCGTGCAATGAGGGAAATGCTCGTATTTCGCGTCCGGACAAATTGCGTTAATTTCGCATAAACACACCGATTTTTTGGCATTTTTACCTCGTAACTCGCAAACTATTCACTCGATTTTAATTATTTATGGTGCAAATAATAGATAAAATATATTTTTATAACATACAAAAGGAAAAAATTTAAAAATATTTATAATAAAAGCAGGAGATTAAAAAATATAATTTTTTTTAGTGATTTTGACCAATCGGTAGAAAAAACTATATATATATAGGGAAGGGGGCAAAGTGGGCCCCTAGGGCAAAGTGGGCCCCTGAAATTCAGGAGGCTTAAAAATTGAGGGTCAAAGTGGGCCCCAAAAATTTTTGATATATAAGATGAAGTTGCAAGAACAACTTATCCACAACAAATTCGAAGTAAGAAATAAAAAAGAAAATAATATAAGCAAAAATTGATACAAAGGTAAGAGCCTAATTTTTATGAGTGGGGCCCACTTTGCCCCATATTCTGATTTTTTATTTTGATAGACACGTCTTATTAATATTGAATACTGAACAAGGATGTAAAAATAGTGTAACGAGTAAAAAAGTAAACAAATTCCCTTTTTTCGCTTTTGGGGCCCACTTTGCCCCACCCTCCCTATATATATAATATATATTATATATATAAAAACTATTCATTCGATTTTAATTATTTTTGAAGCAAATTATAGATAAAATATATATCTATAGCCTACAAAAGAAAAACCTCAAAAATATTTAAAATGAACGCAGGAGGGCCAAAAATAAATGATTTTTCGTGATTTTTTTGTAATCGAAAACAAAAAACACATTTTTGACATTTTTGTCTCATAATTTCTAAACTATTCACTCAATTTTCATTATTTATGCTTTAATTTATAAATAAATAATATACCTATAACCTACAAAAGAAAAACTCCCAAAAATATTTGAAATACAAGCAGGAGATGAAAAACCAAAATCCTTGACATTGATTCCTCGTGATTTTCGCTAATCGAAAGCAATGTCACGATGTCAGTGATGTTCACAGATGTGGGTTAGTGTTGTTATGGGGGGTGGCGCATGCATGTCACGTCACGATTTATATCAATTTCGCCCCGTCTGTTTGCCGCGCGTGTGCGGCGTGTCGTCGGAGGCACCCTTCAAAAGAATATCAAATATTAGGTGTGCGCGGAATGCCGACTCAAAGCCCAACTAAACCCTTAAGCGGATTCCACCCCTCAGTACACATTGACGTCAACATTTTGAATCGAAAGTAAAAGTCACCACACAAAAACCCAAACACACTGTATGTTTAAACTTCTTGTCGAGCAACCCACCCAACAGTATGGGGTATGATGGCACGATTCCTAGGGGTCCCAGGCGGGGGTGGAATTTGGCATCGGACCAAATATGCCGCCGCGCGCCGGGTCACCCCCTTTGCCCCCCAACGCCCCTCGACATCCGCGTTCTTTATGCACGTCGTGCCCCTCGCCGGTTATTTGGTTTATTCGGGGCGCGCACATAAAATGCACCGACGGCCAGGATAATAGGAGGACACATGCAGGACAAGCCCCCGCTATCATCATCCCCCAGCGTGCACTCAACTCCATTCTCTGGACAAAGGCCTAAGCACCCGGGACTCTCTAACCCTGGACCAAGGATCATGAGGTGTATTTATGAAGGGCCACGATTTCGTCCTTTCGACAAACACGCAACGCAATAAAATATCTTTCAGCGGACAATTATCGAATTGGGAGCGCTCATCAATTCAACCCTTTGCACCCTCACCTTTCGACTATCTTACTATCGATCTAAATTAAATTTATTGATTTGTTTGAGGCGAAAATGTAAAAAATGCACGCCGCGGAGTGGCAGAGGTGTAGTTAAAACGTCAGCAAATGTAATTTCAAAAATTTCCACCCAGCACAGATAATAAAACTCTTTGCGGTGGCGCAATAAAACGGTTAAGTTTAACAAGCCCGTCTCGTTACTCATTCATCCGCCGCCCGGCAGATGGGGGCGCCGACG